AAAAAAAAAAAGAAACTGATCATACAGTCAGTTATTATTCCTTATTTAAATAGAAACTTTAACCATATTTCTTGATTCTCTAAGCATTATCATTAACAAGAATTTATTATTATTGAAGTGAACTATCTACTAATATTGTGACCTTGTGGAGACAGAAAATCAATGATTAGAAAGGACCAAAACAACACTTTTTTTTCCCCCGGAGGGAGAGAGGATCTGATAGTATCTTTCTGAAGGACATTTATAGATGCTTTAATGATGAGAAAATTTAATAGTTACCGGAATATGTTCCAAGCACAGTACATTGTGGGTGCATTCTTATTCCCTGATATGTAGAAAATGTTGGCATTAATATAATTCTAAAACACTCATTAAATTGTCCCTATGAATGAATATGGCTCTAAACATTCAGAGCTCATTACATTGTCCACTTAGGAGCACCTAGTAGGTGTCTTGTATTCTTTTTGGCTTGTTTATTGACAGTCTATACCGTTCTTGATACAAATGATCTTTTCTGAGTATGGAAGGATTCCTAAAAAAAATGAACTTATACCTGCTCACCAGTACTATATATATACATATATGTATGTATATATATATGTATATATATATATATTCACACATATACTTCTGCATATGGCTTCAGAAGTTTCACAGACCACCTCCTCCACCAATCATTTCATGAACCTGTGGACATCAAATTAAGAACTATTCCTCTTGGTCATTGTTAAAATATAACCACAACAGGAAGAGGACCATAGTGATCGACTACCAATAGACATTTATAGTTAAGAATGTAATTTGAGTTATTTGTTCAACAGTGGTGCTAGGTTATACATTTTTTCACATCATCTTATAACATGAATATTTATGCAAATGGCTATCTGGGCAAAAGAGTCCCACGAAATAGGGAATGCTAAGTGACCAATATAAACAGGCCAGTGATATATTTGAAAATGAGGATCAAAAAGCTTGCAGATGTTGATGGAGAGATAGCATCCTTTTGGGATATATATTCAGGAGTCAGAGTAATCTTGGTAACTTAGCAAAGAAATGAATATATACTAGAATGGTGGTGGATAGGAAGGCCAAGTGTGGGCTCATCCTTCCACTTGCCTGTTGTATGACATGGGGCAAGTTACCTAACCTCTTTGAGAATGAGTTTCCACGTCTGTAAAATATGAGTGACAATAATAGTCCTTACCTTCCATGGCTCCTGGGAAATTTATCTGCTCTAATCCATGTAAGCTGCTGGCATATAGAGAATGCTCAATAAAAATCTTAGTTCTTACTGCTGATTGTTGTTAGTTTCAATTAGAATTGAAATAGAGGAATAGGAACAAATAGGAGCTACAATGGGTAAATAATTACTTATATGAGAGTATGACCTAAGGGATTCCACAGTGAAAAGAATTAACAATGTAGTTGTAATAAATCCAACCCTAAAGAATTATTTTAGAGAGAGGAAATCCTTCCAGTTCTTTGTACCCTCATGAGATTCTTTATTAAGAACTCTATTCTTCTCTGAAGTCCAAAAATAGAGATTATTAGTCCAAAAATAGAGAATATAGATTAGATTAGTGATTTCTCTACTTTTTTTAAAGAGCAATACAAATGAAGATTAATATTCACAGTATCAATACTCCATGGCATATCTGATTTAAAATCATCGTGTGTATATACATGTGTAGGCAGTAGAGGAGATAACACCATAAACTTTTATTTTTGTGATATTCATAAAAATCTATAGTTGGCACGAAAATATTACTCAATAGAATTGCTTATTATGGGCTATAAAATAGATAGGATAGGCTGCACGGTGATGTGCTATGATGGTTTTAATCTCTACCTCTTCTCCTACTTACAAAAACCATCAGAATGCAAACAGGAGAGTGGCTTTATTATAGGAAGAATCATGAGCTCATTCTGTTTCTATTTTAAAAGTAAATTATTCACAAACGTCAATATTATTATTATTAACAAATTACTTGGCACACAGCTCACAACTGATGATGCCCTGTTGTATAGTACAATGATTATAAGGACCTCTGGTTTAGAGGAAAGCCTGAGAAGTCAGTAAAAATGTCAAAAATCCCTCCCACTTCCCCACACAGTTAAAATCACTAAATATATAATTCTATTCAAATGTAAGAACTGTAAAGCAGATGATAGCAAAATATATAGTTGTTATCTTCTTTGGACAGTAAAACAAAACAAAACAAACAAAAAAACCCTGTTGGGGATTTAGATCAGCTATGAAAAATCTACTGACTTTATATTATTGTTAAACATTGGGCTAGAATTATTGTTTAGGGAAGGTCCATGTGAGGTTTTACTGTGCAGGTTTTTAAAGGTAGGAATAATTT